CATACCACTACTAACATTCGCAACTACGTCTTTTGGCGAACATACATGAGGACTCTGTGTTCTTTGACATGTTTACTTCATGTTCAATCTATCCACTTCTCTGAACCTCGATTTGTACTTACTACGGCTTGTAATTACTCTATCAATGCGTGACACTGCTGAGCGTGTCTTGTTATGAATCCTCTTCTGCAACCCGGAAGTGTGATTTGTAGTAATCAAGCTTCTCTTCTTCGGACGGTGCAAACTTTACTGAGGTGTAGACGTAGATTCAGACAACAGCGCGACTTCTTGCTGGAAACTCACTTGTACAGTTCGCTTTGCATGTTCATGTGTTATACGTCGAGAGTGTTGTGTGAGCCTGGCCGGGGACATTGTTGATTTTCTTCGAGTAGCGGCTGAGTGAGCTGCTGCTAATGTTTTAGTTTATGAGCTTTTGGATCCCGTGTGAGTAATTTCGAAGGTTTCGGACTTGATGTAAGGAAAATTCGAAGATTTGTTGGCAGATTTTTCGATATTTTGTTGGGTTCGTAAGATTTCTTATTGCACACAAACTCCTTGTGGATCTGCGACCTCCATAGAAGCAAGCAAGATCAGCCTCAAGCCTGATGCTGCATCTTGCTTTCGTATTTATATGATATTCACGTTTCTCCGGTTTCGATACTCGTTGAGTGGTAAGGAGCATATTTATCATGAACGGCACTCACCTTCATCTTTGGAAACTCAATCGCAGAAATATGCTCGAGGCACATTCTTGGGCAATGTGCAGATCTCGGTTGCTCACACGGTTCACATTCAGGACGTCAAAACCTTGGTGATTATTGTTGTTGAGAAACTCGCAAGGTCCACACTCCGAACATAAATTTCTTGGGAAAATACTTCACAAAGAAACCTTCGTGATTATGTTTATGTCTTATTGTCGTGGACCCCAAAGAATCCTAGAGATGGCACATTCTGATTTGTACTTGCAATGTTCTATGCATAGATGAGAATAAAATGAAGGTGTTTCGAAAATAATATTCATGATTCAATTCTAGACTTTCAATATCCTGAACATGGTTTAGTTTAAGTAAATATGAGATTAGTATAAATTAAAAAATATTTGTGGCTTTTAATTATCCTTTTGAAGCTAATTCGAGTATCACTTCACTTTTCTTATTAATTAGTTCAAAGTGGCCAAACATGTATGACTTTATCAAATTTTCCATCTACGTGAAACATGTAATTTTCATCATCATCTTGTTGGTACTATCATGTTTGCAATTTTATCTTGGATCTTGATTAAAAAATCAGATTACAATAATTCCCAAGAAAATAAAATACATTGTCTAGTTGATGTAAAATTTATTCTCTTTTACAATGTGAGAGAAAACATTTAGATTAGTGAAAAATACACTAGATAAGAAGAAGCAAAACTTAACAATAAAATGGTACATAAATCATTAGATTGCAAAGTTGGTGCAAAAATTCCAAAAATGTTCATCAACAAGAAATTTTGTTCTACATACCGCTCTGAAAACTATTGCATTCATCTCAAGATCAAGTATCCAATTTGTCTGCAGTAATTGCACTGTCTAAAGAAATTAAGCTCGTTTACTCTTACATCAAGTTTAACTTTGTGAACACAATTATGTCTCATCTCGATCAGTACACACACCATATGACCTATATCATCGTTAAGGGGATCATTAAGGTTACAATTGGAAAATTGTTATGGGAATTTGAAGATGTCCAAGGTCAAACCTACGACAACATCATGTGCTTGATCACATTCAACACTAACACAAGTAGCTATTCTACGACGGCGAAGATCCCAATGGCATACCACCTTGAAATCAAGTACTTTGGCATTAGTATCAGTCTCCTGCAAAACGTGTTGGTGCTTTAGCTGGAAAAGTAAGCTGCAATAATCTCTTGGTGGAATGAATGATTTGAAGATCGCTACATTTGTATGTGTTCAATGCAATGGAAAATTCCATATCATCCACTACATGGTGTGGTCTTTCTTGATCGCGTTGGATGCCTACACTTGCATGGCTAGCTCATACATCGATATTCACGTTTGTTTTACATGGCGCCGGCAACTTTACAGTTTGCATCTCATTTCAATCCCATTCTATGTGTCTCATACTAGTTTGTCACAGTCTAAAATCGTGTAAAAATTATTTGACGTACTCTTTCTCAATTGAATTAACAATTGATTGGTGCATCGTTTGAAAAAACTCAAATTATGAATAGTCATGTTGATGTTGTTATCACGTGGCTGCAATAATGTTTTCTTGAAGAGTGTATTTGTTTGTGGTGTCTTCTTTATCAATTGAACATTACGCTACATGAGTTATACTTGAAGCTCAATGATGATGCATGATATGCGACACTAACATCTATGATGTTGCATCTGCGCCGAAAGCAAAGTTTTAATTGCAAGATGAAGTTGACTTGTTCCAAGACATCTGCGACTCGATGTCACTCTATATTTAATACCACAAGCTTGCTTGATGATCATTGTCACGAGATCAATGAAATACCAATAGGCTCTTTTTGACCTGCATTTCAATCTGAGAATGACGTTTTATGGATTCTAAATGCCAATTCAAAAAACATCACAAGTGCATACACATGACGGTGATGCGATTCCAAGGTTGTTGTTTGACGTTTAACTAATAAAAAATACATGTTCAACAGTTGATCATTAAGTTAATGTTGATTATTGGTGCATCTCACAACTCCAATGTTGACAATCTAGACAAATTTACTCATGTTATTCGCTACAATTGATCCAATGGGAAAATTTCATCGACTCGATATAATTGGCTGCATCCATCTTGTTCTTGATGGCCTGCCCCTAGTTGAATCCTCTATCAAATAATACAATAACCGGCTACAATAACATTACAAACTTCATTGAAGATCTAGGTCATTTTGCTTCAACAAAGATTAACAGTCTCATCGAACCAACTCAGATGTTATTTTTTTTAAGGTTACATTACTTTTTTTATATATCGTCAACAGATTTATAGACTACGTAGCAATACAAGATGAACGCATCTTTAGTAGCGACCTCAACATCCCATCTGTGTACTCTTTTGAACTAATGAAGTTTAAAGATTGTGATATGAACTGTCTTATCATTGAACGAAAGTATAGTTTTAACTGAGGTTGATCTTCCTCCGGATTTGACAAATTTGAAGAGCTTTGCATCATGTATAAAAATATCTTAACGTGTCATCAGTCATTTATTCCTACAATCACCACTATTCTTTTAACGATGCGTGGGCACTACACTGTATGTCTGTTCATCCAATTTTCTGATCTACTTAGTTCAGAGCCTAGGCGCAACCTTCTCCAACACAATGCCAATCACAATCAAGAATGACTTCTAGATGTTGAAAGTCGAGAAGTACGTATTCAATCACTGTTTTTTCTCTAGAAATTTTTTTTAGATACAAACATTATGACGCTTTGCGCACTATGAAGCAATAAAAAATTTCTATGTTACTTTCTTTAAGCTTCTATTAGCGGTAATGACTAATTTGATTAGGAATTTGCGAATAATTTACTTTAGATTAGACATCTATCTAATCTATGCATGCCTGCTTTAGAGGTATTCTCATCATGACTTATGGAAAATTGGAGAGATTTGCTTGATGGGACCCCATCCAAAGATAAATTGCTTGATCGGACCCATCAAGTTTCAGTTTATCCGATGGGACCCTAGGGACGGTGTGCCGTCGCTGAGTTCTAGTATGTGTTCTAGTACGGGTATGTTCTTGTAAGAATGCATAACACTGTCTCGGAAAGCTGATCGATCATTCTAATATATTCCCACGACATCCACGCTCTGAGATCTCAAGTCGAATAGAATTGGGTGCCAGAACTTAAACTGTTCAGAAGGCAGCGCTCGATCTAGCAAGCATACAAACTGAACCTTACTTCTCCTGACGCCAGCAGCGGACTGAGCTATTTTTTCATCTTTTTCATCTTACAGTCGCATTCTTCCCAAGAAAGCTGTTCAACAAGATCAGATTTTACGCAGTGATGCAAAGGGCGAAACGAAATATCACGTGCCGAACGTAACACGAAGTGTGATTCATGCATACTCTTCTGTTCATACTAGAACAGTGTGACGTGGACCGTCGGTGGGGTGCCATCGGGTAAATTGAAACTTGATGGGTCCCATCAAGCAATTTAACTTTGGATGGCGTCACATCAAGCAAATATCTCTCGAAGATTGCAATCTTAAAATACATGGAATTATCCAAATTTTGTATAACAAACTTTTCTCCCTATAGTGAGTTTTTCTTTCTTTATTGAACTTTATCATACTCTTTATTCAACCATTGTATCATTCGTTGCTGTGATAATTTTGGGTTTGCCTAACCGCATGTCACTCATCAAGAATACACAGATGTCGTCAACACATGTCCGTGAGATTACAACACTAATTTATTCAGTTTCGTTTGGGTCTTACATACGAAGAGACAAGTCCGTATCTATATACGAGGGCTGGAGGGAAGAGTGCATCTCTAACAAATAGCATAATTATAATATTTGCAATAATGAATAATAATTAGAACCACTCTGGCTAGCAGCTAGCCAGAGTCGGAGACGAAGAAAATCACGAAGTAAGTGAGGACATGTCATTCCTGAGGCCCCCACAGGGAGAGGACAGGGACAAAGTCCTCTACGGGAACACCAAGCAACAAGCCCTGTCCTCGATAGGGTCGTGAGAAACGGGGGCTCCCTGGCGGGGCCTCAGGTTCAACCGGACGGGAAGATTTCATATGAGCACCGTCGTCTTTGCCGTCCGTATGTCACATAATACGGTATACTATATACGGTCAGACGAGCGACAGTACAGAAGTAGGAGCACATTGGATCGGAAGGCGTGAGAGTGAGGCTCGAGCTGGAAGGAGGGCGAGAGGCGTGGAGGCTTGGCGGGGCCTCAGGTTCAACCGGACGGGAAGATTTCATATGAGCACCGTCGTCTTTGCCGTCCGTATGTCGCATGATACGCTATACGCTATACGGTCATACGAGCGCACATTGGATCGGAAGTTGTGAAAGTGAGGCTCGAGCTGGCTGGAGGGCGAGAGGCGTGAAGGCTTGTGGCGGGCGATGGCAGCGACGCGTTACATCGAGCACAGTTGTTGTGCGTGGAGAAGGAGAAGCCCGAGATGAAAGCGCAGCGACCAATTTTCTGATTCCGATTCCGATTGCGACGAGGTTCGATTCGAGAGTCGGACGCGTTGCTGCGGAGCGATCCGTGAATGTTGCTCGTGACGTCAAGCGAGCGGGGGGCTCGTGTTTCGAACATGGAGGCTCAAGTGGTGCTCGGTTTTCTGGGGTTGCGTGTGATGCAGCCCTGAACCGTCGGCAGAGCTCCTCCTTTTTGTCCTGTAGGCTAAGTTCGCATGACATTGCCACCGGGGCTGGATTTTGGCGTGATTCTTGAATCGGGGATCGATTTGGAGCCAGGAATGAGAATTGGCCCCTTCCGGCCGAGGACGAGGGAGTGAATCCCTTTTGGAATTAGCTCGATTGGAGTTTCGTGAGCGTTGCTTGCAGAGTCGTCGCTTGCTGCGGATGCGTTGAGCGAGGGAGATGCTGCTCTAGCTCGGTTGGTGGTTGTTCTGATGGCAAAGGATGACGGGGCGAAGCGTGCAGTCACTTGTGCGAACGTTTTGCATAAATCGTGGTACCGGCTTCTGCAAATTTCGAAGAAGAAGAAGAGGTCGCAGAGACTGAAGAAGGACAAGGGAGTCACGAACGACGATGAAGGTGCAGGGGAGATGGCAATACCCGAGCATCTGGTGGAAACCATTCTGTCGAGGATTCCGTATCCACATGTCTTTAAAACCCGCTTTCTTTCGAAGCAGTGGTATGCCAAGTTTCCAGTTGATGACGGTGACGAGAATTTTCCCACCCCTTTTCAAGAAACAATCAAATCTTCGTCGACTATGTGGCCCAGCTTTTGCCCCGTTTACTTGAATCCCGCGGGTTCGCTCATTGGGTTCAATAGCACCACGAAAAGCTGGCAGGTTATTTCTGTCTCGGCTTCTGTTCCAAGCATTTTGTTCTATCCGAATGCACGGCGGGAGAGAAGATTGTATTTCGGAGGATCCCTTCTCGCCATCCTTGATTGCGGTATCTGTCAAAGACCAACTGCCGATCATCACCTCTTTGTGATGAACATTCAAAGTGGAAGTTGGAGGGAGATTGCAGTGTCTGAGGACAGACGATTGGGCATCAACACTTATCTGCTTCTGATTAACGAGGTTGGAATGGATGGCTATAAAGTCTTGGTGAATCAGTACTACAATAGCAGCAGCTCTCCTTTCAAAACAGATGTTTATGAGTCCAACTCCGCTGGTTCGTCATGGACAACCTCAAATTACAGGTCAGAATTTACCAACTCGCCAACAGAGTTTTCCGAGTATTGTCTTTATCATGATGGCAATCTTTTCTGCATGGAGCCCGAAGGCAAGGTTGGTCCCATCGAACTGGTGGATCTTGTTGATCCTGAAGTGGTGAGGTTATGGAAGTTCAACTTGAAAATGGGTGTCTGGACAGAGTCCGCGCACACTATTCAACTTCATGGGAAGGCATGGTCAGTCGGAGGTGTGTTTCGCTGTGGCTCCAGACTCATGCTTGCAGTAATTCATGAAGAACCTGAAATAGAAACGGAGATAGAAACAGATATTGACGACATCGAGGAGTCGTGGGAGTATATCGATAGTTTGAACCTCAGGCCAAGGGCAAGAATATACGAAATCAATGCGGAACGGTTGGACTTTGTCGAGGTTTCGATCAGTCCCCTAGATATTTACCCAGGTAGCATACTGATGTCTGATAGGCACTGCATCTATTTTGCTCATGTTTTGTACAACAGAACTTCAGTTGCTTGTTACAACATTCGTGATGATACCTGGAGTCGACTTCCTTCTCCACCACCAGACTTTTGCCGCAGCCCTAACCGAGCGCTAAGACGTCCATTTAACCCTTGGGCAAGATCAGCTTATGAACCTGGAGTAAACCCCTTTGCTTCGACATGAGTGATATCATTCTCCTGCGTCCACTCCCAGGAGGACACTCCAACTTCCCAGGTATTTCCTTTGGCATGGTTCAGAATTGAATCTGCTAACATGCTCAGTAGAGGTCTTGGATTGTAGAAGGTTCAGTGATTTGCTCGCTTGGAACCAACACAAATTAAAACTCCATAAGTTCGCAGCAAGACGGAATGTTTTATGTGATAGTGTATATAGCTTATAAACTCGTGTTTTGTCTCGTCATACGAAGTGGAGATAGGGCAGTCATATTTACCATTTATCATTTACCATATGGGAGAATTCTCACCCTTGCAGGCTTCTCATTAGTTACATCCTTTCGTTATGGCAGCTTTCCTATATGCATGTGTATACATGATCGTGTTTCAAAGGATTACTCTGTTATTGTCCACCGTTGCTCATGGATTTGAATTGTTTTCAGGACGTCCTCGTGAGGAGCCATGAACCGTCTGTCCTAGGAAGCATGGGGGGGGGGAGGCTCTACATCGATGGTGTTTTCATAATGGTGTGAATCCAGGAGAATGATCTGCCTTGTAAAGCTAAGAACCTCCTTTGTATTTTCTCTCTCCTTCTAAACTGTGTAAGTACCCGATTGTGAATAAAATAGCTTTTGTGAATGAACGTGCCTTCTGAGATCAGAGAGTAAATAATTCTTTTGTTTGATTTTCTTCCTGAAATAGCTCGAGAAGATGATTTACGGTTGTTACCCTTCGACCTCCTTTATCTGCAGCAAAAGGGAAATTTGCTGGTTTATCAAACGTTAAATTCCGTCCAATTTATGAAAGGAACGGATCTGGAAACGTACAATCATGACAACAGGTCTGTATGTGCGGATTCGAGTCTCGTGAGTTAATGTGATTCAATCACTCCGATCGCATGACAAGACTGGATAGGTGAGCAATACTGCTGCACATTAAGGTAGTTCTCCTTTCTTCGATGCAAAAGGAAGAAATTATAACAGCCTCGGATCCCATCCCAGTGTGAAGTACTGTGGTGATGGTAATGACCATTTTCAAGGTGAACCTGTTTCTCAACGACACTCACTCATACCGAAGTGTAAGTGCGTCTCGTTTTGCAAATTTCTGTGATTGTTTCACGTGATGACCGTCCGTTTCAGTCCATGGTAAGGTGATTATCGTGACTCAGTATACAGCAATCTCTTACGTGCTCTTTCCCAACCTGCTCAACGTTATCAGGCAAATATTTAGTTGTCGCGCACCCTGTAGACTAGATCCAAGAAGGAACCGGCTATAGTTCACGTAATAAATGTATTGTCGATTCCGACCATAACATGTTTCACGTGGCAACCTCTACCATCAAACCTCTTTCAACCTCTGACGGCGGGGATGAAATCTGAAAAGCGATGTTGTACATTTACATTTGTTAAGTTGCTGACAGCTGTACCAGTTGCTTTTCTCTGATCTTGCTCTACCAGTTGCATGTGTGTCTTGACAGCATCGGCCGGCAACGAGTGAGTCTTGGTTAGGAGAGAAACCATATCAGCTATCTATCTTTGAGTAAAAAGGAGTAACGAAGGGGTAAATGTATGAAATAGAGCAGAGAGAAGCTTTCGTTGTGATTTGAGCAAAGATATTTGTAGGACATGTTAATGGCCATCTTGATTGAACACATGACAGAAGCCAAGGACTTGTTCTTCCCCATGCTCGATCCATTCCTAAGAAGACTGCTGGCCCCTGATGACGGATCACTTATTTAAGCGTTTTCAAAGTACCAGTAGCTGGCCTGATGAGACGGTTCTGAGCTCTCTGAAGATACTGTTAAAATTGGGCTACCGAGAAATACATCACATTAGAGAAGCCACAAGTGTTAGGCATGGGAATGGATGGCGTGGAGATGATTGTCTCTTTCTCCAGGAGACTCTCGTCATACTGTCTCCTTCCCTGAATGATAAGGAACTTCATCTTCTGCCCACACTCTATTGCCTTGTAAAAACCTCCAATAGAACGAAATAACTTCCATTTGTGATCCTATCAGTTTACAACCACAGGTGGCCGCCCCGGTCCCTTTCGTCAATGCAAGTCCCAACATTCTACAAAGATCTTCCAAAATGCTGGCAATTCTGACGGGAAATAGTCTTCTGGCTCCGGAACTTCTGGCAACTGAAACAAGATAGATCCTGGGCGGCTTCTCACGGGCTAGTGAGAAATGAACTTATCACACGATCTAGCTGGAAGGCACCGGAGATGCCAACCACAAGTGAGAATTATTTCCTTCCACATGGCTGATCGCAACAGACAACAGAGTTTGCTTACGGGGACATGGCAACTAAAATGTAGGTTCGTTGTCGATTTTAACAGCACAGAGACTGCGACGTCGGTTGCGCAGGTTTGATTGCAGGCTCCAACATCACACCTTTCAGTGTGACGTTGGAGATGGTTCTCAAAGCTATCAAACACCAGATCTCTGCCCCGCAGGACTTGTCATGACTTTGATAAGCTCGACGTATTTATCGATTAGAATAAGCAAGCTGGGAAGTATACTCTTACCTGAGACAGTCTTTCAGTGCAGGTGTGATGTTAGGCGCATTGAGGTCAGTTCCACATGTTTGTTGTAATGAACGCAACCTCCCGTTTGACTAGCCCTGACCTGAACGCTTCTTGAAGCGCTTCTCCCAGAATTGCCTCATTTTGATAAGAAGCTGTTCGAATTCGAAATAAGCATCTGTCGAATAAACTACATCAAGCGCAAGAGCTCTGCAGACGATGTCATGAAAAACAAAACCAACTTCGGAGTCCTACCCACCAGCATTCGCAGAGACCTGTTCGGATTTAACTCCTAAACGGGAGAAGTTGCAAATGTTACAGCATCTGCTGTTCTGCCGCACGCACTGTGAGACACGGCAAGCTCTGGATCTGCCAACGGCGCACTGAAGCGCTCGATACGCATCGAGAAATCCCCTGAGCTATCACGCACCCTGACACTCGTCGAATGTTCTGACGGCTCAGAGCCTCCAACGCCTGCCTCTGGATCCTCCATCTCCGAAGAACACTCCGGCAGAACACGACATCCGGTCCTGGACTGTATCTCGTTCCCGTACTGATCTCATATGGAGTCACTGACTCCATACTCCTCACTCTGCACTACAAGAGACCATGCAAGCTTGCTCGGTAGCCACACTGTCTAGCAGCCTCGAGCCAGACAGTACAGGAAACCGTGGAACGATCGACTCGGTTGGGCAGGATGTGCTCCCCCGTAAGAGCCGAAAAGTTCCCGACAGAGAATGTGGTTTGAAGAAACAAAATTAAAATCAACAAGGTGAGTGTGCACTATGGAACCATTTATGGAACCACCGCGGTCATGCTTGTTGGTACATAGCCCTGTTGTAATCTTGCGCCTTGGTTTACTTACAACACGATCGGCTGTAAACTCGTGTGCCTTCTTGAAATACAGACCACGTGTCGTATTCATGAAGAAATTCATGAGGACAGAAGATCTCCTGCGTGCGTGGAGTCCTTGGAACCTTACAGTGTGAAATGAATCTTGGAGTTGAGTTGTTAATCCCTACGAGTATGCTTCTCCCATGAATATGACAGTGAGAGTCGGTGGGACGACATCACCATCGGGGAAGAGGTGCCACCATCTCAGAACAAGGTAAACCATGTTCCCATGCGAGTTCTTGTAACGTGTGTGTAATGTCAAAACACAAAAACATGGATGCTGGCCCGTGAACAAAAACGATACAAGAAATCGCAGATGACGGTGTGCTCCAGGGCCGTCGGAGTGGTACCATCGGGTATAATGAATCCTCTGGGTCTCAGCAAGTGAGTTATGGAGAGTCCCATAAATTAATTTACTAACACAGTATTTTCAAGAGACAAGGATATAAGGCAGGTCACTCCCCCACCGTTTGAATAGACAATTTTTTTCAACGTGTGATCCACTTCTATGCATGAAATCCCGCCATCTGAACGGGAGCAATTTGTAATTTCAAATTATGCAGCATAATTTGAAATACTTCGAATATATGAAAGATAAAACGAAAAAATATGTAGAGTTCCATATCCTGGCTCAATTTGCACCAAAAGTCGTTGGATTATCAATCTACAATCGCAATGGTAGAGTTATGGTTTCACAATACAGAATCTCCCAATCGAGAACACTCAAGAGAAGAAAATATTTGAATTCTGTATCATTTTTCTATATTTGTAGAGTAGAATATCATATCAAAAGTTTATGGTAGTGTTTAGGGTTGGAGTTTTTCAATTATAGCACGACTCATGTTTTTTTAAAAACAGGAGTACAGAAGTGCTATAATTGAAAACTACGTAGTTACGTTTCCATGCAATCACTGGCGCTGCGCTGATCTGATCGCCGGTGCAACTTGAAATCGGAGAAGAGAACTGAAGAGATCCCAGAAATTTAGAATGTAATTCTGAGTACAGGATGCACGCAGTAACGGGATCCTGCTGCTCGTGGCAGTAACGGACATGCAACGCAAGGAACGTGCAGGGGACGATGGATAAGCGCTCGATCGGTGGAAGGGGGCCCGAGGTCAAATTTGAAACTCGTACGTTTGTCGTGGATCGGATCGCAGCGGTTGCTGGCAGTGCTCATCAGCAGCTCGCGGACGACTTTTAATGCACGCCCTTCCTCGCTGGGTCTGAGTCATTAGGCGTCGGGACGGTCCCATATGCTCGGGACCGGTGTCCTGGATCGCTTCCCCAATATGGAAGGGCACCGAGCCCCAGCTCGGCGCCATCGCGAAGACCTCGTCGTCCCGCCGAGATGTGCTGCGCAGTGGTGCGGATCTTGTTTCGCGAGCCTCGCTCCATAAGTCGAGTCGAAGTCGAGGCGGTGTCGAGCCATCACGAGTCCAGCAGCGGCAGTGGCAGTGGGAGTCGCGCAGACAGAGGAATCACGCGCCGGAGCAGATACTAGCGATCCCATCGAATCGAGGCGAGGCCAGGCAAGCGATCGATGGCGAGCGAGTCTATCACAATGTGGCCACAGATCAGCCCCGAGGAGCAGTTGCAGTACGAACGCTGTACACGGCTGATGGAGCTGCTCCGGAGCGAAGGGAATGCGCAAGTCACGAGCCGGTATCGCCTGGAAGAATGCGTGGACATCGTCGAGACCTTCAGCTTCAGCACGGGGCTGGACTTCGACCAAGCTGCCAGGATTCTGATGGCCTTGGCGTTCGACATCCAAGCTGCACACCGGAGCTTTTGGATCCACCGTTTCAAAGATACATTGGAGGACGATCCTTACGCCCCGACGGGCCAAAACCCGCACGCGACCGACCTCAAAGACCTCTACGGCGTGCGGGTGGCCATGATTCAGCAATACACCGGTGTCGATGAAACGCACGCGATCGTCGCGCTGCGCAAATCCAGATGGGTCGTAGAAAAAGCGCTGGCCTGCGTCTACAGCGACCCTACGGCACAGCCCACCTTATTCGTGAACGATCTGGATCTCTTGTTCGCTCAATACCAGGACATGCAAACAGGCAAGATAAATCTCCGAGGGCCGCCATTCTTCTCGTCCGTGATCCTGCCCCGCCAGCCCACCGAAGCATTCAAGGTCATCGCGATACTCTCGTGGTACATGCAGGCGGAGTGCTTTGGAGAGGTATCTCTGCGGGAATTCGTGGTCGGCATGCTGTACCTGAGGACGGACAACATGCAGGATCTGCAGGATCGCCTGTTCCAAATTGGGTACCAGCTCAAGATTCCAGAAGTCTACGAGAAGGTTTACGAGTCGTGCTTCGTCTGGTTCGCAGGCCGAGATCAGTGGCGCATGTCGACGTCGCAGGCCATCTGCCTTTGGACCATGCTCTTCGACGAGCTGGATCTGGAGCCGGACCCGGAAGCCGACCGAGTGAATATGCGCTGGCCGCTGCGAAACGATTGGTTTCGGTACCTGCGAAGGAACCCGTCGGCGCCCACCATCGACAAAACGACGTGGATGCACATTCTGAAATTCGCCACCGTGATCAAACCCGACCTCAGCAACTACGACGACGTCGACTGGCCCTTTCTGATCAAGGATTTCGTGGACGAGCTCATCACCATCAAAACGCTCTCCCCCGACTCCCCCGACTCCCCAGCCAACCTCTCAGGTTCGTTGGAGCTTTTACTTGAATCAGTGAGAACGGCCGCAGACATAGACGAGCTCGAGAGTCTAGCTCAAGGCTTGCGAGAGAGAGAACGTGGCATGCGAGTGAGACAACCGAACCAGTCCCGCTAGAAATACTCGATGATCATCTCCGTAGAATTCTAACGTGGCTTTGTATTATATGATGTATGATATGTGAAGGACATGTGAATAATACTATTTCACCTTTTTCTTTCATTTTAGTAGGTCATATTGTGATCATAAATTGATAAATTATACACAGTAATAATTGCATTGACCGAACAAACATCAGATTAGTATTAAGATGATGTAGCTTTGTAGTGAGATACAAAACATATTCTGTCACTTTCATGTTTTTTTTCTTTTTCTCTCTGATAGCCGGGGACTTTTTTTTCAGTTTTTTTTTTCCCTTGTTGTCTGACAGTCCGGGGCCCTGGACGGCTCTCACCGGACAACGGGCATAATATTTACCACCTGCCCTTTGGCACTCTCCACGAGGCCCAGAGGGCGCGAAACTCACAGCCCGGGTCGAGGTCGGTACTACGGAGAAGTGGTAATGTCGAAATAACACAACGTATAAAAGCCCGGGTACAGCGTGTGATACGGTGTTCTCAAAGTCTTCGCCCTTCTACCCATGGCAACCCTTGTTCCTCTTCGTTCCTTTGTTATATCTTTAGCGCTTAGCGTGTAGACGGATAACAAAAAGGCTTACATACAACCAACCACGGCGCTTAGTGCCGTGGTTGTATGTAAGCCTTTTGTTATCCGTCTTACCAAGGCCAGGGATATCCTTTGCGGCAGCTTACTAGCGTAACCGTAGGAAAATCAAATTAACAATAGTATCATGAAAAGGAATATAGATAGCACATGATAACAAGAAAACTTTACATGTTTCTTCAATGTCGTTAGAAAGAAGTAGAGAAATGTGGTAAAGACATACAGTAATCAAAAAAAAAATTCTGTTAGTTCCTTCTATGCTTGTTAATTTTCTACCCTTAATCATAACTGAACTGAATGTGAAGGTAATGATATTCCAGAAAATGATAGAGAAGATAAAAAAATATCGTGGAGTCAGCTTTCAACTCCGTTTTGATTAATTAAAAAAATAAGTGACTGTCAAGGATAGTAATGGTAACTTTCTGAAGAAATTGGGTTGTATAATAGTAGTTGTTCATCGATTTGACAGGAATTACAGCCAAATACACTAGATTGTTGAAACAAAAGTTTTATCGTAATAAATAAAATTCTAACAAGATTGCATCATTTAAAATACCTAAATCTTGATCGTTCATGATTTGATTGCAGGGAATTGACTAAACATGTAATATATATTTACTCCTTACTTGTACATATGTATTTTCGGAGATTGGGTTCAGCCTAAGTTCAGGATTGTCATATAACAATGATGATAGCGACGCTTGTGAAAGCTTAGGCTGGCCGTGTTAAGGGTTGCTACTGAGAGAAAAATGAAGTCGGCGTTTGTTCTATAGTATCTCTAGATTTTGACAAGTTATAAGAAAGTAGTAGATTAAAAACACAACAGAAAAGAGACTGTATGAACAAAAGTGCTCAATTGTTGTGAGCTCTAATCTAAATGTGTGTAAATTGGTCCCACATCAAATTTAGTCATCAATTATCAACCATTTGTTGATTGTGAATCCCACTTTGGAGTTAGTAGGTTTTGGAAAATTAAATTGTGAATACATTTCTTGTTGTGTTGTGACGAAATGTGATAAGATTTGGAACCCTAAACTCAATAGCACTCAAAGCTTCAAAAGTGGAAATAAGAAAGCCAAGCTAAAAAGTTAGAAATAAGAACACTTGAAACGAGAAAAATCCCAAGCTAAACAGTTAAGAAATCAGAAATCAGAAAAATTGAAAATTATATTGATCCTCGAAGAAAGTACACCTGGTGTTACGAGAATAAGTCCAAAGAAAGCTGTTTTTATAATATTAGAAGAATTCTGGGAAACCTCTAAAGTTAGGAAATTGGCACTACTACTAGTGAAAAAATTCACATAGTCTCATAGTTGGAAAAAGAGAATAAGTCCAAAGAAAGCTTTTTTTATAATATTGGAAGAATTCTGGGAAACCTCTAAAGTTAGGAAATTGGCACTACTACTAGTGAAAAAATTCACATAGTCTCATAGTTGGAAAAAGAGAATAAGTCCAAAGAAAGCTTTTTTTATAATATTGGAAGAATTCTGGGAAACCTCTAAAGTTAGGAAATTGGCACCACTACTAGTGAAAAAATTCACATAGTCTACTAGTTGGAAAAAGTCTCCATCCATCCATCACTATGACGGTCATGTACGTGACATCATACCCCTTCAACAACGAGTATTTACAAATTGTTTCATTTATCTTATAAAGATAAAGACAGAAACTAAAAATCTATTACAAGAAGTCTACATCATACCCCTTCAACAACGAGTATCTACAAATTGTTTCATTTATCTTATAAAGATAAAGACAGAAACTAAAAATCTATTACAAGAAGTCTAGGTCATGTACGTGACATCATACCCCTTCAACAACTTTCAAATTTTTTAATTTATCTTATAAAGACAAAGACAGAAACTAAAAATCTATTACAAGAAGTCTAGGTCATGTCAGTGACATGATCCACCTTCAACAACGAGTATTTATAAGTTGTTTTATTTATCTTATAAAGACAGAAACTAAAAATCTCTTACAAGAAGTCCAGGTCATGAATCATCCACCTTCAACAACGAGTATTTATAAGTTGTTTTATTTATCTTATAAAGACAGAAACTAAAAATCTCTTACAAGAAGTCCAGGTCATGAATCATCCACCTTCAACAACGAGTATTTATAAGTTGTTTTATTTATCTTATAAAGACAGAAACCAAAAATCTCTTACAAGAAGTCCAGGTCATGTTTGTGACATCATGTAACTCTATATCTCAGACCAAGCAAAGCAACAATACGATGAACATAGAAGACACCAGTATAACGTGGTTTAGGGGCTACGTACACGGAGAAATACGCTTGAGAAAGTTTACTGCTGGAAGTGATATCTTTACTCATAGGGTATATATACCCAAAGTAGTCAACCACTCTAAACTATAAATAGCTACATATGTGGTTAACCTTAGTAAACTAACCTAAGTTGACTCCTTAACTAAAGTTAACTTCAACAATCTCCCCATTAACTCGTGTTAAGGAGTCTCAGTAAACTCTCTAACCTATATTATTACTCAGTGGAAAGTTCTAGACAGAATCTTGACTAAAGGTCATCTTTAAATGAGAGTTAACTAGAACTAAGCCGTAGCCATTACGGCTTAGTTCTAGTTACCTAACTAGAACTAAGCCGTAATGACTACAGAGATAACTCAACAATCTCACCTTAACTCACGTCAAGGAATTTCAATCACCTCTCTAACCTATATTATTACTTTCATATCAAGATAGAGTAATAATATACAAAGGTAACTTAACAATCTCACTTCAACTCATGTCAAGGAATTTCAATCACCTCTCTAACCTATATTATTACTTTTATATCAAGATAGAGTAATAATATAAAGAGATAACTCAACAACCTCACCTTAACTCATGTTAAGGAATTTCAGTCACCTCTCTAACCTATATTATTACTCCGTGGGAAGTTCTAGACGGAAGCCTGTCACAAGGTCTCTCTTTAAACGAGAGTTAACTAAAACTAAGCCGTAGCCATAAGATGATAGAGTAACAATATACAGAGTTAACTAAGAATCATATCTCTCGTGCTCCCTATGCACAACTTGCATAGTAGCACAGTGTCGCCTGAAACTCTCCAAAGAAATAACTTTGATCAATGCATCAACTGGATTGAGTTTACTGTCAATCTTGACTAGCTCAATTGTTTTATCAGACACTGTTTGTCCAATAAAGTGATACCTTATGTCGATGTGTGTGATAACCCACTTTTTGTTTTTGTGCAAAATTAAAACATTTTTTGGAAAACAAGTACCGCGGCAGCAACTATAAATAGTAATCGATACATAAGATAGAGTGAAAAGGGAGGATCGCGGATCACAGAGAATCCAGGAGTTGAGAGGGACCAAGATCGAGGTCCATCGCCTTGTTCGGCACAGACGGTTCCTACTGGGGAGAGCGCCTTTGGCAACATCTTCTTTGCTGAGGTGTCTTCGGCGATGCGCCTTCGGCGCAAGTAGAAGGGAGTGCCTTGGGCGCAGACGCCTCTAGAGGAGATGTCGTTGAGGACGCAGGAAGCATGCGCGACGCACGCCTTCGTCACAGGGTATGACAGGAAGCGGTCTCGAGGTCGGCAAGACTCACAGCCGAGAAAGAAGCGACGAATCGATGAGAGTGCAGTAGCAGAGGAGCGGCTGCAGCGCACCGCCCTCATTGCAATGCGATCACACGACTTTTGGGTCTGGTCAAAGATGAAGGCCAGGAGGTTGATTCTGGAAGAAGATACCAGCCCCGAGAGTAGGAGGACAGCGAGGAAGGAATGTCCTAGTCAAGAAGCAAGGCCAGCGGAGAAAGCGGCCAGGGAAAAGGAAGAGTCGATAATGAAGAAGCCCTACCCTGTAGAAGACCGGTCGACTTCAGTCGAACAGTTGCAGGCTTCAAGGAGAGATAAGGGGAAAACCATCTTAACTGAGGATGTTCCCTTAAGGCCAAGAGATGTCCCTGTGGAGAGTACCCGGACGGAGGAACCTCGGGACCAGGTTGCTGAGGTATTGACGGTGTCCTCAGATACTAAGGAGGAGCCGGTGGCATTGGAGGAAGTTGCGGCAAAGGCCGTAGAAGACTTGGCAGCAGCCAAGAGTGGACCGCAGAAGGTGACCTCACCTCGGACCTCCACGGATACAGTCATATTGGAGAAGGGTGAGGAACCCTCAACAGAGGAGACACAGTCATCAGCCTTGGGTGCTGCCGACGTGTTGAGTGTGCAGGTACTTCCATTGCTCGAGTAACTCGACCGGAAGCGGGAGAAGTACGCAGAGGGCAACCCCAGTGAATCCTATGTAGAGATAGTGCGCAATCGAACGCGGACTAAGAGGAAGTTGGCTGTTGAGGTCGCCGCTAAGGAATGAAGGAGTCAGCCGATGGAAGCGAAGTACGAAGCATTTCAGAGGAAGTTGTCTGAGGAAGTTGAGAAGCGACGGAAGGCGGAGCAAGTCATTGACAATCTTCCTGAGGATGTGGAGAGAGCTAAGTGCGCAAGCGTGGACCTTCTGAAGAGGTTGGAAGCTTGTAGAACCGCGTACGACGCTAAGTCATTAAAGATAGATGAGTTGCAGGCTGCCGCGGAGGAAAAGAAGCGAGAGTACCAATCTGAGTTGGCGGTGCGGGCGAAGAAGCTATCTGAGTACGAAGCTACGCGGATTGCGAATCTGGAGTTAATCGAGAAACTGGAGACGCAGAGTGGCGAATTGAGGACGCAACGGTCACAAGCTGAAGAGCAGTTATGCGAGGTGGAAGCAAAATTGGCGGAGGCCGAAGGGAAGAATCGGCAGTTTTCAGAAGAGACGCGTGAAGCCTTAACTGCTAGAGTGGAGCGATGTTTGCGCGGGTACGTGTTGTGGCAGATCGAATCTCACAACAGGCTTTGGTTACGCAAAATTGAGCATTGTGCAGCCAAATTGATAGCGAGAAGCGGACGAAGGCATTGTCAGTTGTCCAAAAAGCTAGAATCGTATCTTACCACATCGCGCCACGCGGTAGCAAATTTAGAGGTAGAATTAGTAAACGTTTTGAAAAGATTAGGTTTAGAGCGGAGGTTAGAGGGAGCGGCAACTGTCGACTCCGGAGGCGTAGGGCCTGTTCGGTGCTCGCACCACAGCAAATGATAGTTTTTGGTAGTTAGGAATAAAATAGTCCAAGGCGTTGGCCTTAGGGGTCTTTTCTCAATTTAGTTTCTTAGTTCGGACTTCTGTGATCTCTGCGCGTTTTGTGAGTTGAGTGTCTTGTTCACCGCGTAATAGTGACTTCGGTTTGACGAAGGTACCGCATCCGAAGTAGGAGCCCCAATTCGAATATTCCGAAATAGCGTCTGGCTAGTGACAGGATTTAAGCAAATTCGTGATTGGCCGCTAGCTATAGGTACTCTAAGTGTACTACTTGGGAAATTTCCCCCCTAAATCTTAAGTTGAGGTCCCGATCGACCTCTGAGTTTTGTGTGATACCCCACTTTTGGCAATTTTGAGGAAATTAAAACATTTTTGAAAAACTGTACCCTGGCAGCATTGTAAATAGCCTTCGGTACATCAAAACAGAGTGAATCCGGAAGATCGCGGGGATTCTCGAGGGATCTTGTAGAATCTGGGATTTGGGGTGCCGCAGTAAGGACAGGCACGACCCTCCCTTCGAGCTCCGCAGTTAGGATCTCTACGGCGCAAGGCGCAAAACCCGCCTTCGGAGGTTGCGTCCGCGGCTGTAGGGAAACCCCCGTAATTAGGTAAACCCTCGGGCGCCTTGACCAAGTTGGATCCCGTTGGAAAGAGCTCGACGCGCTGATTCCAACGAGCCCAAGAACGCTTGGAACGGACGAGGACTTAGGGAGTTATCGCTACGGGAAGAAACGGAGGCGGTCGCCTACGGCGGAAGGATTTCGCCACCGGCGCGAATTCCGCCTACGC